ATGTAGTTTTTTTGTTATGTGAATTGAATGATTGTTTATGAGTGTTGTTTAATTCAATAATTGAGTTATTGTTCATGTTTATTGTGCATGTTTGTGCTTAACAACCTAAGGATTGTGCATATGTGTGCTTAGCAATCTAAGGGTTGTGCATGTTGGTGCTTAGCAATCTAATTACCCACTTAACCTAGATTAGAGAGGAAAACCCCTCTTCCAAGGGAGACTTGATTGAGTTTGTATTCCTAAGGCTTTTTAAGTCTCCTAACTAGGTTAATTTAGGGCAAACCTCAATATTGGATTAAGCAATTTGGTTAAGCGCGATTAATCCGTCCAACCATCGGGTTGAGTGAGGGAGTAAGTCAACCACCGATTGCCTAAACCGAGAGGGCCGAGTGACAGCTTTGTATTCCTCGGTTTAGCAATCATGAGTGTGGTCTACGACCATATTTGCATCCCCTAGCGATTCGCGATCACCTTGCCCATAGCAATCATTTCGGTTCACATACCATGGTAGTAGTTAGGGGGAAGCGGACACCCGAGCGATCCTTCTCACAAAAGATCTTTCAAAATCATTCGCTTTTGTCTTGCTTTATTTTAATTAGCAAACTTTTCTACCCAAACCTTGTTGCTAGATAATGATTCGAATGACTGAAGTAGGGGTACACGGACCGGCCCGGGTAGATATTTAAACAAAGCTATCCTGTACTGCACCCTACTAAGGTTTATACTTGGACCTTAGACATGAATTTATTGTGGTATAAGGGACGAGTCAAGTTTTTGGCGCCGTTGCCGGGGAACTGCGGTCCATTATCTTGAAAAGGTCGTTTAGTGTTACTCTAGCATTTTTTTAATATTTTCTTGTGTTTTCTTTTTGTGTTTCATCTTTGTGTGATGCAGAGTTGAGCCATGGATCCCGATAGCTTCTCCAACCCATGGGGGTATCCACCAACACTCGAATGGTGTTACCCCGAGCCGACATGGGGCTATCAAGAAGGAGATGAGTATGGATCCAGGGTCGACTACCAACTACCTTTCCATGATGAGAAACCATATCCCCCGGATGTTCAAGAGTTCTATCCCTACCATGAAGGATACCCTCCACAACAAGAAGAGAAGTTCGTATCGGACAATGAGAGATCATATTCCGAACTGGCCTTTCCAACCATGGATCCACTTCACTCGGATTTCCTCTATGAAGCGGAGGAAACACGCAAGCACATGGAGAAGCTAAACTCGATGGTCGAGGAAGCTTGTGCACGGTTCACCCAAGAACGATTCTTGGCGGTTGGTGAGGAAAAGGAAGATGAAGAGGAAAGCCTCGAGGATGAGTTGGAGCGGTCAGAAGTTGTCACGGATGGCCACCGTGATGCTCAAGACTTGGAATGTCCTCTTGATGTAGCCACCACTCTTCCACATTTTATCCCAAGCGTTGAAGAGGAAGTCTTCAATATGGATATGAGTGTAGAGTCAATCGAAGACATAGCTTGGAGACTCGCTATTCAACGCTTGCTTGTGGAAGAGCGAGGAAAGATGAGGAAAGAAGAAGTTGTGGAGGAGGAGGTAGAAACATAAGAAGAGGAATTTCTTGAGGATTCCCAAGAGGAGGAATTTGAAGAAGGGAAGGAGCTGGATGAAGCGATTGGCTTTTGTGCTAAGGAGGAAGACTTGGTTGAAGAGGCTTGCATCGACCATGTGATTATCGAGAAATCTCCACCGAGCTTGGAAGAGTTACTTAGCAAGGATCCTTTTGTGATCACTCTTTGCTCGAATGAAGCCAAACCATCGGCGATCCCTCTTGGTGGATGCGATGGAAGTCAATCGGTGTTCCACTACATGGTTCGGGTCAAAGAGAAAAGAGAAAAAGAGAAGGAGAGGTCTCAAGGATGGGGGTTCATCTCACTCAAGTTCATGAGTAGTCATCAAATGTTAATCCATTTGATCATGACTTGAGGCTCCGCCTAAATGATGAGAACCTCAACTTCAAGGAGGTGCTAGCATGGAACAAAGCTTAAGGAACAACCGTCTAGCTTATGACGTAAAAGTAGCGCTTGTTGGGAGGCAACCCAACGTAGGTTTCTGTTTATTTTTATGCTAAAATTATGGTGAAATAACCTTGCTTTGTGCGAGAATGTGTTTGTGTTTGTTCCCATGTGAAGATCTCTCCTTTTTATCTCCGACCCAATTATGTTCCAACTTTCACTCACCAAGCCGAAGCAGTAACATCATTCTACCCCTATCGTACGCCATTGAGGGCAATGCCGAGCTTAAGTGTGTGTGTGGAGGGGGGGTAGTCTACTATTATGCTTTTGTGAGTGTGATTTATACTTGGAGCCTTAATGTATGCCCAAATTTGAAAAATTTTGAGGGCTCCAAGCAATGTTTGCATGATCAAAGTGGTCGGTTTGTGGGAAAATCTCGTGTTTATTCGCATTGACCTTGAATTGTTGCATGTGATCGAGTATATCCTATGGTGATGACTGAGAGTTCCATTAGGATAGTGCAAAATTTTAGTTCTCATGTGTGCATAAATGAATGGATGTCTTGACTCGATTACTTGTTGACTACAATTTTCCATGCATTGTGTTTCGTGGTTTGGAATAGATGGTTGGGTGACTAGGTAGCCATATGAGCTTTGAGCCGATCATTTTCTTCTTGTGTGCTTAGATCCCTCTTACCATGGCGAGTAACATCATCGTTGTCACTAGTGAGAATGATGGAAGCATAGGAGTAGTCCACGCCCAAATGTTGATTGTCCCGAAATGTATTATCCACTAGTCAACCCCTTTGAGCCTTGTGACTTCGAGGGTCGTTCTTAAGTTAGGAGCTTCATGCTTGTGAGCTTAATGGTGTTGATAGATCGACCTCCAATCCTTTGTTCGCGTCTAAACATGATTCGTCCTTGTGTCCCGAAGCTCTCACTTTTGAGTTCCATAGAGGTTCTACATAGGAGTGAGGTTTGTGTGCGACTGTTGCTAGGAATGAAAAATGAAGTGTAGTGTTGGAGCGAGTTCTTGAAAATATAGCATTGGTTGATAAATGTATATAGGTGGCAAATTTTTTACTTTCTAGTTCCCCCCCCCCCCCCCCCCCCCGGAAAAGAAAAGAAAAAGAAAGAAAAGAGAAACAGAAAAGAGGTAATAAAACGCGGTAAATAAAGTAGAGAATGCCACGAAATCCAATGAGACCCCCACATTGTTTTAGAAATCCCTCACTACCATATCGAAATATGATAGCAAGAGTAGACCGAGAAAGTGTGCTTAAAGGTAGTTCGTGATGGGTGATAGTTTGGAAGGGAGAAGTAAGGTTTTTGGCCGATGCTAGTGGCCATTGCTTGTAGAGAAGGTTCTTAGTCGAAACCATAGAATCTTCGGGTTTAGGTTGAAGAGGTAGAACCTCATGTTATGATTTCCACCACCCAAAAAGCCTTTTCCCCATGTCCAAGACAATTGCCAGTCATCTGAACCCGTGTCTAAGACCTCCGGACAAGCTAGTGATGACAACCATTCCGTGAACTCTAGCATTTAGAGGTTGCCGCTGTGGATTTGAGACGATAGGGCTGAGTGTTAATGATTGTGCACATCTTTTGGCACCAAAAAGGTCCCGACCAAACTGGTCTTGAGAGTGAGTGATTCATTCTTGCTTTGCATGTCATATCATACCCCGGTGAGGACCTTGGTAGCCTTCCCATTTGTTCCTTGGACTTGAATTCCATGCATGGTTAGTTTTGGTTGATAAGTGGTCTTGTTGAGACTTGCATTGATCCATGAACAAGGTGAGAACTTTTAGTTTGCCCGTTTTTGGTGGCCTCGAATGTTGTTTGTGGTGGATGTCGGTATTGCTTGCAACGATCCATGTGTTAACTACCAATAGCCATTGAGAATTCCCACTTTGTGCCCTTTGAGTTGTGCCCAAAGTATTTGTGTAGGTTGAAATATTACCTTGTGTGAAATGGTTTGCTTGGGGACAAGAAAACGTCTAAGTGTGGGGGAGTGATTCGGGCGTAATTGTACATGTTTTACCCCGTTTTCCTTAGGCGTTTGTGGCTATTTCGCTCCTAAAAGGGTGGTTTTACGCTAGATTTCTCGTGTTTTAGCATGTTTCGGGATTTAACAGGTACAACCAGCCCCAGAGTCGAAAGTTGGACAAAAAGGAGCGAAAACCGGGAGAAGAGGTGAAAAGAAGGCAGTTCACGGCTTTCCTTGGATGTTCATCGTCTTGTATGACCGTGAAGAAGAGCTGTTGCCCGTGAACGTCGAGGCGTCCAGAGCATTTCCAGAAGTTACTGACGCTAGGCGAGTTCACGGTCACTAAGACCGTGAACTAGAGATGTTGCCTGTGAACCCGTGCACGCGAAGCGGTGGGTTTCGATGCCCATCTTGAGTTCACGGACGCGTTTCAATGTTCACGCCCGTGAACTGCTCAACGCGTCCTTGAACTCAGCCCCAATACCTTGAACTGAGCCTGATTTGAGTATAAAAGGAGAGGGAGTTGAAGGAAAAATGAGAGCTTCATTTTAGGTTAGGTTTTCATTTTTTTTTTTCAGAATAAAGAGGATTCAAGTGAGAGGTTGGAGAGCCCATTTGAGTGAGAAATCCTTCTTCAGATTTTAGAGATAGAAAAACGAACCAAAGGAGAAGGAGGCTAGGGTTTTGCTCCAAGTGTGGATTTGGGAAGATTCTCCCCAAGAGAAGTTCAGCACAAGTGCCAAGAAGATTGGACGCCTCCTTCATGATGGTTTCTACCTCTTCCCTGTGTGTTTCTCCCATTTTTTTTTTTTTTTTTTGGTAGAAAGACAGACGTCAAAGACGTCTAGGATCATGTATTAATAAGACGAGGTTGGGAAATTCCCATAACATCATAATCTAACCACCTACAAAGATCAGGGCTACACACATCAACATGATGTATTCCAAAAGGTAAGCTATGGCCAAGACTAGCAAGATAGTCAGCTGTTCTATTTCCTTCCCTATACACGTGACAGACCACAACGTCCCAATCACGACTCAAAAGATTGAAAGCATGCTGCGCAAGGAGACCATGTATGTGCTCATCATCTGCGCAGTCTTGATGATGGCCACCGCCGTAGCAGAGTCAAGTTTCAGCTGAACTTTACGGTGGCCTCTGTCCCAGGCCATCTGAAGTCCCACCACTGCTCCTTTAAGCTCTGCTGCAGTGATTGAGCAGGTCCCAAGATTGCCTGCAAAGGCCACAAGACATCTTCCTAGGCAATCGCGGATGAGCCCTCCAGCGGCTGCACTTCCCGAGGGAGAGAGGATAGACCCATCAGTTTGGATTTGTACCCATCCCTCAGGGGGGGGGGGCTTCCATCCAATCTGTTCTTCTCTTCGCACGATGGGAGGGACGAGGCTCTTTTCCCATTCTGGTGAGCCATCTTATAAATTTTGAACCAAGCATCGATCCTGCAAAGAAGTGATTTCTCAACATACACTTTGCCATCCATGCATTAATTCGTTTCTCTGTTTCCAGAGGTGCCACACAATCAGACCGAACTCCACTCCATGGACAGCATTGTTGAGATTGCGTGTCATCCAAGTAGTGAAAGGCAGAGAGCTGTCATCGCACGTAATTCTAGATCTGAACTTCTCCCAAATGTTCCTAGTCTTGCTGCACCTTCTGATGATGTGCTCCGTAGTTTCGTCCACGTCCTTGCAGTGGCGGCAGGTTCCATCAGTGGTGAGTTTCCTCTTCATTCGTTCTCTGTTGGTTAGCAGTCTGTCATGCATCACCAACCAGAGGAAGTGCTTCGTCCGGCTTGGTCCGTTCCACCTCCAGAGATTTTTCCAGAGATCTTCTCCAGTGTAATCTAATTGATCCGCAGCAAGCTTGTACGCAGATTTCAGTCGAAATCTGCCATCCCTCTCTAGTCCCCAAATGCATTTGTCCTCCCCAAGTTCTTCTTTAGGAGGTTCCATTCCCGCAATCAGGGACAAAGTATCGGGAGTGAAGAGGTTTTGAAGCTTCTGCCAATCCCACTCTCCAGCTGCATCAGTCCAGTCAGCCACTGCAGAGTCTTCATCACACAGATCAGCACCCTGAATAAGATGATCCTTGAGGAGCAGGTCATTGTCCAGCCACGGGTGATTCCAGAAACTGGTAGTTCTTCCATCTCTGATGCTCCAGCTTGTGGCGCTTTTCATTAGGGGCATGGCTTTCAAGATTGCTTTCCACAGGCTTGAATGATTGCTCCTTTTCATCGCCACAATCTGTCCATCCTTGTGCTTAAAGTATTTACCCTGCATAACCTGCACCCACAAATCAGAACTGTTGTTAAAGATCTGCCAGGCTAACTTAATCATAAATGCCATGTTTAATCTTCTAGCTGATCTTAATCCCAGCCCCCCTTGTTGTTTAGGTTTGCACACAGTTTCCCAAGAGATTAAATGCACTTTCTTTTTATCATCATTCGAACCCCACACAAACTGCCTTATCTTTTTGTCAATTAAATCACAAACAGAGACTGGAAGAAGGGTTGTCTGCATAGCATAGGTGGGGATTGCGTTGAGAACAGAAAGGGCAAGAGTGACTCTCCCTGCAAGGGAAAGGGTCTTGGCCTTCCAGGAGGTCAATCTTTGATCAGTTTTATCGATGAGATACTTATGGGTGTTCCTAGTGATCCTACCATGAAGGACAGGAACCCCTAAGTATCTACCTAAGTCAAGAGTCGATTGGATACCCAGTTTCTCGCAAATGATCCTCCTATCCCTGTCCTTAGTGTTCTTAGAAAACAGGACTCTGGATTTCTCTTTGCTAACAAGCTCTCCCGAGGCATCACAGAATCGTTCAACATAGAGGTTAATGATAGCAGCTTGCTTGTCGGAAGCTTCAGCAAAGAGAACCAGGTCGTCCGCAAAAAACAAGTGGGAGAGGGATGGTCCTCCAGGGGAGAGGCGGACAGTGTTCCACTTTTTTTCATTCACATCATTCATAATGCAATGCCCTAGTCTCTCTATACATAAAGTAAAAAGATAAGGGCTAAGAGGACATCCCTGTCGAAGGCCTCTAGTTGGCTTGAAGCTCTGCTCTGTGTCTCCCCTCCTTCCCAAAGGACTTGCATCTCCACTGTATTAACACACTTCATAATGACACATATCAAACTTCGAGGTAGACCAGCCAGGGTGATTTTTTCTTCAAGGAAATCCCAATCGAGGCGATCATAGGCTTTAGCCAGATCGAGTTTGAGAAGCATCATCCCCTTCTTGCCTGTTTTCCTTGCCATTGAATGAACTGTTTCCTGCAGGATCAAGGTATTGTCAGTGATGTGCCTTCTGGGAAACCCTAGCTAGCTACCATGTAGTTTTCTGTTATGTGAATTGAATGATTGTTTATGGGTGTTGTTTAATTCAATGATTGAGGTATTATTCATGTTGATTGTGCATGTTTGTGCTTAGCAATCTAAGGGTTGTGGATGTTGGTGCTTAGCAATCTAATGAGCCACTTAACCTAGATTAGAGAGGAAACCCCCCCCCCCCTTCCAAGGGAGACTCAATTGAGTTGGTATTCCTAGGGCTTTTTAAGTCTCCTAACTAGGTTAATTTAGTGCAAACCTCAATATTGGATTAAGTAATTTGGTTAAGCGCGATTAAGCCATCCAACCATCGGGTTGAGTGAGGGAGTAAGTCAACCATAGATTGCCTAAACCGAGAGGGCCGAGTGATAGCCTAATTTGTATTCCTCGGTTTAGCAATCATGAGTGTGGTCTACGACCATTTTTGCATCCCCTAGCGGTTCGCGATCACCTTGCCCATAACAATCATTTCGGTTCACATACCATGGTTGTAGTTAGGGGGAAGCGACATCCGAGTGATCCTTCTCACAAAAGAGCTTTCAAAACCATTCGCTTTTGTCTTGCTTTATTTTAATTAGCAAACTTTTCAACCAAAACCTTGTTGCTAGATAATGATTCGAATGACTGAAGTAGGGGTACACGGACCGGCCCGGGTCGATATTTAAACATACTTATCATGTACTGCACCCTACTAAGGTTTATACTTGGACTTTAGGCAAGAATTTATTGTGGTATTCGAGACGAGTCAGTGATCTTGGTGTATTAGGGCATATAAACCCATGTATGGCCTTCGGCCAAACATAAGCAATAAAACACAAAAACCTTCTACAGTGGACGTAAGCCTCACTAACACGAGGAAGAACCACTATAAACCAAGTGTCTCTCGTAATTCTTATAAGGGTAGCTAAGTCGATATCTAAACCTTCGAATATACCTGAAATGCACAACAACATTGTGGAACCCTTGATTGTTGAAGATAACAATAGGATGCAGTTGTACATTGTTGAAGTTCATGGTAAACCTTTATAGGAGTAAAGTAATTTAATTTAGTTTTCTCAGCCATCAAATGAAGATTATCTAGTGTACAACATACATCAACTTTTACCTTATGTACGATACAACCATCCATATATATATACTCTTTAAACCCATTCGCATGTATATGTGTTTATTTTTATTATCATATGACTACTACAAGCATTACTACAACATAAAAATTTCAAAAAAAGTATAGTAAATTAGTTCCTAGTAGTAGATTGATTCAAATTAAGGTAGTACCCAAATATAAAAATAAAGCACAAGTGGGGCGCATAAACGGATTACGCCTTTGAGTTTGACCGCTAGAACAAAAAGGTACGGTAACAATTAACTACTCCCAAGCTAGTTTGACCGGTTAGATTGAATGTTCACTTCTTCATTTTGGTAAAGAGTGAACCCTCCACATTTCAGTGTAGACAAACAAAATGGAACAAAGATGGAGTCACATTCATTAGAGATCAACGTTGAACTTCCCGCAAGAGTAAAACGACACAAAACGAACAAGGCAAAACGATGCAGAAAAAGAAAATATATCCACCCTCGTCGCCATCCCAAAATTTTGGGAAACCAATCAACCACGGGAGAGAAAACCAGGGGCAAAAATACACACAACAAAATCCCACAGGAAAGAAGAAGAAGAAACTAGGGATGGCAATTTCGACCTGACCCGTTTTACCTGACCTGTTTGACCTGTTTTGGGGCGGGTCGGACCCGCCCCGTAGGCGGGGCGGGGCGGGCATGGGTAGTCTCATCGACCCGACCTGCCCTGACCCGCCCCATTCTCGACCCGTTCTTGTCTAAATTACATGTAATCTTAGTCAAATTACTTTGAATTTTCCTTTTATTGCATCATATTTTAGCTATAATAAAGTTGTAAATTAGTGAAAACCTCAATTTCTCCAATAATTTAACAACAATTGTCATAATATTGTTTGTTTTCTTAGTCTTATAATAAAAATAACGAATATTTCTAATGTTTTTCATATAAATTGCATACCCATTGGGTCGACCTGCCCCGACCCGCGACCCGTGATCAATTACCCGCCCTGGACCCGCCCTGCCGCGGGGCGGGTCTGGGTACCAAGAAACCCGCCCCGGACCTGCCCCATTGCCATTCCTAGAAGAAACCATCCTTGGTTGTTCACAAGATAATAATATAAATAATAAATATATATTTATTTATAATAACAAGAGAGTAAAATAATACAGACTTGGATTCTACGATTTGACTAGGTAATCAGTAGAGGGATATTTGCCGTCTCCTTGTATTAATTAACCACGACGGCCGCATAATTGCGTTTTGTCCATCGTTCTAATCACATTATAACTCTTTTCACATATGACATAACCCGCGTCCACGTTGTTGTTTTCATACGTGGCATCACTGTCTACTGGTTTCCGCGTTGAAACTGTTGGGCAGCAAACCATTCCAATTTCTTCCCCTCATCTAAATCCGAAACAGAAATCCCTATACAAAAACAAATAAGGCAGCTCAACCGCAGCTACGAGATTGATTGCGGAGTTGGACCAACAACGATACTCCCTCTATCTCATCATCAATTGTTTCTCGCCTTTTACCCACCCTCACCTCGCCTTCTTTTCCTTTCTCAGTTTTCTGGTAACGGGATCCTTCCTCTTTTTCCTTAAATCGTTCTAAATTCAGTCTGTAGGGTTATATACCGTACTGGGTTTGGTTCTCTTGTTCGATTCCTTGATCTTGGATGCTTAAAGTTTGCGCCTTTTTCAGTTTTTCCTTGGAAGGTTTGGTTGGGGAAGTTTGAAGGTGTGTGATTGCTCACTTTTTGTTGTTGTTGAATTCTCCTACTTTGTTGTCAGTTTCTTCAACTTTTGAATTGGTTCAATCACCTGGGTAATTCTCTGGAAATTGTTTGTGATCAGCTGTTGTTGTTGGTTAAGAAGAAAGATCATGTCGATTTCTACCGCTGAATTTCATTTCTGAGGAAGAGGGAGTGCGAGAGAAGACCATTG